ACGACGATAAACGCTATTTAGTAAGATACACATTCTCCCCACGCGCTATGCATAATTTAGCGCAAATACGCGCGAAGCAAGATCAAAAGTTAGAAATATGTAATCCTCCGCGATGAGAGCGAGCATTGAGATGATACGGCCGAGCTAACACTAATGCTGTGAGATTCCATCGATATAAATCATCCTTCATTTCTTTTTGGATCCTTGATGTGCGTAAAAGATTATAAAAAAAAATTTGCTTTTGTTTGAAAAATAAGGAAAAATGAATGTGATTTATATCAGATGAAATTTCTGTGAAATTTTTCTAGTTATAATGCTAGTTATAAATAGACTATTATCGTAAAATGTCTAATATATTTTCAAAAGTATTTAATCTAGAAAAAATTTCTTATATGTACTTGTAAACTTTAACGCACGCACGCACGCACGCACGCACTCACGCATGTATGTTATATGTTCGACAAATGAAATTTTTGGCCTTATTGCAAATAGATAATATAATTGAATAATCAAGTAGAAATTTCTTGTTTGGATATCTTTACATCTTTCCATTCTTTATCATGGATATAAAAACAACATACACATTTTTTTCTTGATTATTTCTCTTCTTTAATATACGTATATATATATATATATATATTCATAACAAAAAATGGGAAGTGTCAAAGCAGGAAATTTTTTCTTGATTATATAATTATCTTGAAATAAGGCAAAGAATTTCATTTGTTGAATAATATTATCTGCTTTAAATGTAATTGTCGATCGCATTATGAGTCTGCGTGCGTGCTGCTAAAGAGAGAGAAAGAAAGGAAGTAACGGAATACAAAGGTTAAACGGAGTGTAACATGCGTGAGTGGAACTGCGATAGAGTGGCGAAGTTGAAGAAAAACGAGAGGGAATGAGTAGAGAATAGAGAGCGAATTCATACGATCGACTGTGCGTAAAATTATTCCAAAACTTATTACTCTGCTGGCTATGACCGTAGCTATGGCAACGAGACGCGGATATGAAAATTAATACGCACTGGGAAAACAGAAAGTTTTCAGAATGTTTTCCCATTACTGGCAGCGCTCACGATGTTCGTACCGATTCACTTCTGACTGGCAACTAATTCGCTCGTAGTTGTGTAATTAGCTGCATTTTTATAACGACGTTCGCGTCACTCTTTTCTTTAGAGAAATCATGTTGCCTATGCTCTCTCGTTTAATATCGAAATTATTATAATTTTTTAGAAATTAATTTCAAATTGCTTGATATAATTATCAACTGATGCATGTGTGTTTAATTATAAGATTTTAACTTTTAAGCAGATGAAGACTCTAGATAAATTATTCGTAAACTAATTATTATTAGTAAACTAATTATTTATATTATCAGCTAGTAATTGGAGCGGCACATGCTACAAAAAGATATTACACTGAAATCATTTCTCGATCATCTCTCATTTAATAAACTCATCATACTGCACGCTGAACATTTGATTTGTGCGTTCGTGAAATGCAATAGCTTTCTATTCCATTATGGAATAAATCTATGTGATTTCATATATATTTTGGTGCATACCGTTGTATCGTTGATTAGCAATTTTATTCTCTTAATTACGCGGGTACAAATACAATGGATTTATATAAAGCGGTAGAAATATTTGACAATTTATACTTTTATAACATAGATTCCCTCGCAAATAACTTTTGAATATATACCAAAAAAGATTAAAAAATATTTTATTTTTTTCGACTATTTTAATAGTAAAATACATTTTTAATTATATTCTTTTTTAATACATCATCCATATGTATAATAGGAATAAATAACATCTCATAGATTTGTTTAATTTATAATTATAAAAAAAGGATCAAATAAGAAATTTTGCAAAAAACTATAATGCATATGATAATATGAATGATATGAAATAAAGCAACATTGTATTTATCTTGTATTTACTACGCGCATCGTGAAAGGTGTTTAAATATTTTAATCCTGAAAGAACAATTTTAGAAGGTTTATAAATAAATCGTATTCTCAATGCAAGGGCGCCATTTCTTTGGGCGCCCTTAGAGATATTAAAATTTGTCGTATAATTTTTAACATAATGCTAACGACAGCGCATGGCACCGAACAACGAGAACGAACTAAAGTGACGTGAATCGATAATCGAACGCTGCGAGAGGGTGAAGCACGTAGAAATTATATTATCTTTTTCTTGTCTGCGTACTACGTAGAACCTAATAGCCTGACGTCACCGATGAGAATTTATAGCCTTTCATAACAAAAGATTTATTTTTAGAAATTATCCTGCATTTTGAATAATCTTAGATCATTATGAATTTTTTTATTACTCACTTTATAAATGTAGATTTATCTCATGCAGTGTTGTAGATGGGATCATTTTAGTACACGATAAACAACTTTGAAATATGTTAATAACAAGACTATCCAATATGATTTAATGTATGCGTGGACTTATATAGGAAAGTTAACAGAGCTCAAGATTCAAGCATTGAATGCTAAATATGTGTCGTTTGAAATTTACATATATTAATAATGTAACAATGATGTGCGGCGACACTTGATGAAATACATTGTAACATGTGCAAGCTGTGTTAATGTCTAGGCACTGTATAGATTATTTTAATTGTGACTTCACATAATGTTGAATATTTTTGCTAAGCCTACAATCGTGATGCAAAAAGATATAAACAATAATTTTGCATTAGGCAATTTCTTGTAGGCGCTTCATATTCATATTCAATTTTAGCTTTAAAATTTTGCGAATGTCTCCTCTTTTCCTTTCTTCGGTGTATGACTGGTTATCCTACTTATTTTATATACGTCTTACACCGATTGCGAAGTGACATGTCTGCAGAAGGCAAAGCTGAAATGAATTGTGGAAGTAGCGAGGAAAGATATTTAGCATGCACAAGAAGCGACCTCTGCTCATAAAGGATAGGAGGAATCCACAATGAACCGATAAGCGAATAATCTCGCGAGAAAAGGGGAAGAATATGAAGGGGTAATGGAGCAGGGAGAAAACCTGTCAAGCTGAAGCAAGGCGGAGTGATCATTTTAAATTCAGGATTGTCCTCCTACCTCTCTAAATTTTTCCAAAATTCATTAATTTGTGCTCTATGGTATATGATTGTCACAACTGTAGATATATAATATTTTGTGAAAAAAACATGCGCAAGTACAAGTAGTTAGATAACATCGTTAGATAAAAAATATATAAAACTATTCTTTCAAGCTAAGGCTATCGAGTGAGACTCTAACAATTTTGCCGCAGCAAATATTTTCATGCAAATCAGGAGACACGGTAGTGTCTCGGGTGTCAAGTCAACCGAGAACACTACCATGTGACTTTACGCGAGCTGGCGAGAGACGAACACCCGAGATTATCAGATCTCATTAACGACTGATGAATCGATCAAGTTCTAAATAGGCTCAATCGATAATTTGGATACGATTTACATAACAAAAGTGATTTTATTTTTTTTCTACGTGCTCTATGAGCAGAGATATTAAGAATCAAAGTCCAATCTGTAAAATTTTTACTTTAAGAAACGTCATTGTCGTCGTTGTCTTTGTATGATTGCAATTCCTATCGCGAGATGTCATTATTGATCTTATCGACCCAGCGGATCATCAAACTAATAAGTCAGGATCACTGTAGAATCTAGCGAATCAATGTTCGCTGAGTCCTGCAGCGATCCTGATTTATCGGCCTGATTTCTCCGCAGGGTCGATAAGATTGATAATGTAATAAATACGCGTGCATCGAAATGGACACATTAGTAATATATTTAATAAATACACTAATTCTTTTTATTTGTTCCTTTCTTCTCTCTTTTTCTAATTTAGAAAGAAATGCATAAATTATATTATATCTTCATCATTATATTGTTCGTTCCTATCAATTTTTGTATCTATATTATAGATAAACATATATTTCGTAATATATTGTGTTTTAAATTATAAATTATGCTAAGTAATTGGTCATTCTTCTCGTACAATTACTTGCAATCATAATTCATGCACTTTTAGATGTTTCTAGATTACTACGAATATGTTCGATAAGCGATATTTATCATTATTAATCTTATCGACCCAGCAGATTATCAGACTGATAAGTCAGGGTCACTGTAAGATCTAGCAAATCATTGGCGGGCAGAATACAATATGTTTCGTGTAAAATTGATTAATGTATCTCTAACAGTCTCTGCTCCTTATGTCACAATTCTGATTGATTGATTATTAATAAATACGCATAACGAGAGTAAGAAAGTAGAAAATGAAAGAGTGAGCGAAATAGTATGCTTGTTGCTCTTTTTCCACGCGTCCGATTGGCGGTCAACGATGTTGTTGAGTTTCGCGGCGAGTTTGACAGTTGATGATGATTTGTTTTGGAGTGTAAGTGATTGATGTGCCATAATCTGTTATTTTGCAAGTAGGTTCTAAGAAGCAATATAAATACTATCATTTTGATATTGTCCTTTTGCATACGCGTTTGTGCTTTTTTCCAGAAATCAAAGAAGTGTTTAGATACTATGATCTGTACAGATATTGTGCAATTCTTGACTATATTATGATATATTTGTTTAAACAATATATCAAAAAGATATATTTAATAATTATTAATAAAACTGAATTATCTTTTCAATAAAATTGTATTAATAAAAGTATAAAAAAACATATTGCACTTGTACTAAAATTACATGTATCATTTTCATGTAACATTTTCAGGATATTCAGAAAAAAATTGTAAAGCAACATCCTGAAATATTTCAATAAATATCAAGTAAATTAAGGAAAAATATTAAAAAGCACAAACATATACATACGTAAAAGTACAATACAATGAAAAATACATACGTTCAAAATACAGTACTCATATTGCTTCTTAGAATTTATTTACAAGACAATAGATTACATCGCATAAACATCACTTACACTCCGAAACGAACTATCAGCAATAAAATGAAACGACGTACTTGAACATCAAATGCGTTTTCTTGATATACTATTACGCTCCTTATTGTTTCATCTTTTCAATTTACAGTTTTTTATTTATGTACGTGCATTGATATTATTCCAACGTCTACTTTATATGTATCGATCAATTATATTATATTTGTCCTTGCACATTAAAGTTGAAGAAAGTTGAAAGATGTAGGATTGAGCTTCTTATACGTAAGCGAAAAATACTTTTTCTATTACACTAACAGGAAGATTTTCAATTCAACGCTCGTGTGTCACCTGCGTAAGAGAGAAAATGCATTTTCTATCGAGAAAGGCTCAACCAGATGGAATAACCTGCCACTACAAAATTGTATAAAAGAGAATAGCGAACTCTCAGCTCCAAGATTAATCGCGAACTTGACTTTCTTATCTGTCTCCTTGATTAAAATAAGATTGCATTATTGCTTCGTTTTAATCGCGCACTGGATTGCAAAAAATATTTTGTTAATATTTTTAACTGCAATTGCAACTTGCTATATTCAATGATTACAATCTAATAGATGAAAATGATTTATTATGCAATATAATGATAGAACAAATCTTTATGGAATGATGTCGTTGTCATTTAAATATGATTATTCCAATTAATTAATAATAGTTGTATTATCTGTCATTTGATTTAGAGGCAAGGAGAGGAGGTTTACAATTTTTTTAAGCTCTCCTATTTTTTCCTATGCTACTTTTTTAAATCTTCTTTTCTCCACATTATTCTCCAAATGAGTCATTTTAGAATGATGAGAGAGACATGGTTGCGTCCTTGATTCATTTAAGAATGTTACTAAGTGCAACCAATAAAAAGGAACTCTCCAAGCCAAGGCGTAAACTATCGCGCTAAGGGCTGCACGGTGCAAGGAAGACTGTACCGTAAACAATGCCTTCCAAATACCAGGTACCTTCTAAGAGTACAAGTCAAATTCTAGGCATTCGTGATTCTGTCCAAGTAATATCGCACAGTATTTGTGGGAGACTATAATTTTAATAACAATAAATAAAGTCTTCATGATTACGTCAATATGATTATTCGTCACTTAAAACCATAATATCACTGATAATAAATGGCATAAAATGGATATGATTAAAATCATAAATTGTATGAATAAAAGCGCCTTAAAAGAATTACTTTAGTTTTTAGTTTTATAAATATGTATCTTTCGTGAAGTCTTTTGCATTTTTATGTTATTTTTATGTTACATAAATTATTATTATTTTATAATTGTGCCATTTTAGTTATTTATCAAACCTTCCAATTATAAGATAGTGTGAATTTAATAATAAGAAAAAAAATAATATATATATATTAATATAGTAAAATATGTTAGTTGATTATTACTAATTATTAATAATAATTATTCAGTGAACAGTTAAGTTGACGTTCCATGGCATGTATTTTCCGAATATATTATATGAGTACTACTGAATATTACTAATATTGAATTACATAATTTTAACTTATATAGTTTAAAAGTCATCATAAAATTCAATATCAAAAAAATCACAAATCCATCAAATAACATCATTATGATTTTTCTTAAAATGACTTTTACTTGATATCATATATTGACATTATTATGATTTTGTATTCTACTTGAGGAATATTCGAATGATAATACTATTCAATCGGATTCGATTAAGATGGAGCTAGTTATAATGATACTGTCAGAGGACTGTAAAAAGCAGTTTTAGAGAAGCGAGCTACTTAAAAAAGCCCATAACCCCCACCTTTATAGCTACCTTGGATTCAAGAGGATATGCTTCAGTCAGTGCGCTTAAGACGCAATTGTCTCAATTCGTCGAGTAATCGTTTAAACAAAAGGTCTAAGATCACTGATCATATGCCCAGGCAATTAAAGGTGTAATCAGAACAGGCCTTGTTCTAGAGACTATCCTGATAAGAAGCTGAACGCTGATGAGATGGACGAAATTGGTTAGAGGACATATTCTTCTCAAAGTTCCCGTTGGCTTTTCAGCATTTGGGAAAAAATTGTATACTTACTTTCAACTGCGTAAACAAATAATTGACTAAAAAGTTTATCCATCGAATTTAAGGTTGAAGATACCAAATATGCTACCAATCAATGAATTGCTCAAACCATCGAATGGTATATATAGAGGAGCTTTTGACTATCAAGAAAACTATCAATTTTCTCAACAAAAAAATGTAGAGCTGGTTATCAAGAAGTTGGTCATCGTAAAGGAAAATGAGAAAAAGGATGACATTTTTAAAACACCTAATATCAATTCATTTTTCAAGGTTTCGGGAAGAATCTACTTACTGCATTAGCCAAGAAAAGATATAATTACAAACTCCAAATTACAAATTCAGAAAATAATCATTAGCAATGAAAATGATTTATTCTTGTAGAGTTAAATAAACTATCAAAATCTTCAGGCTCTGTAAGGTATTCGGACTAGACAGTACCGTACTCAGGGAAAGACTCAGTATTCTGTTAGGCCTTTTGACGAAAATATTAGAGCTCATGACATGTTTCATGGGCTTAGAATGGCATCAGAGTCTTTATATCCAAATCGAATAGAAATAGCTATCTTTATCACATCTTCCTGAAAACTGTAAAAAGATTAGTTGATAGGTTCTTGCAAACTAGCTCTTTATTTTGCTTGACCATTGACTTTCAATGCATTTTAATAGGAAGGACAAATCAACGAATTCTGCTCTACACTACCTTAATCATGCAAAAATTGCATGATTAATGTAAAAATTGCATGCAAAATTGCTCTTTAAATTTAAGAGCATTCTAAAGGATTGAAGATTGCCTGCAGGAGGATGCATTATCTCTTCTATAATAAACGAACTCCTAAATTGAACTGAAAAAAAAAAACTGAAAAAAACAGGCTTTTTGGTTTACATCTATGTAGCTTACGTGATTATCCATCTTGTGATAGTCCATGTTAGATGGATTAATTATCAAATTCTTAACTCTATCTCAGGTTTATATGATTTTCAAACCTACATCTATTTGTTTCTTGAAAGTTGCAAGGAATGACAAATTTTCTGGCCATTATGATCACGTGATCTATAAGATGTAGAATAAAGAGCTGATGATTTTCATTAGAAAATACCAATCATAGAGAAATCAATCTTGAAATTTTGGAATAAAAAAATAGAATTTATCAATTCGACAATCTAAAAGTTTTTCTGAATCTTCTTAAAAATTACATCTCGGAAAGAAACAGGAAAATATTTTCAATACTAACATGTGAATTTATAAAAGAATAATAGGAAAAATCTAGGGATTCCCAAAGTTGCTCTATAATTTTACAAGATACTGTTTTACAAGATGTATTAAACATATGTTGCAGTTGTCTAGTAATCCAGAATAGAGAAGGTGGAGGCAATGAAACGCTTATAGAATGTACACTTGAGAGCTGGAACAAGGATCATGAAAATTATACCAACAGAAGTTGGAAATAGCTCTCTGTTCTCCTCATTGAATCAAATGAATATATAGTCAAACAAATAACATACAGATTAAAACATTAAAGTGAATGGAGATATACCAAATTTGGACATAGGGTTCAGACTTTTCTACAAACGCCCTTTCATATTAGAACAGGATAGAATTCTTAGAAAATATATCAGCTGGTTAAAACTTTTAAAGTTTTAATATCAATTAAGAAAACTGATACAAGTTTTAATCTGCTCAAAATTTTAACCGATCCAAATGTAGATACAGAGGGGCACAGTAAACAGCCGTTTCGATGTAAGTATCTATGGGTCCAAGCAAATCTTAGAGAATCATCTCTACAACAAGTGAATTAGTCACGGTTCTTCAAATTGAAGTACTAACCATCCTTAGATGTGCTAAATTTCTAACTAAAAAAGCAAAAACTGCTACTATAGCAAAGTAGTCATTGAAGCCCTTCTTATGATTTCTACACAATCATCTGTAATCGAGGGACACTAAGCAGGACTAAAGAAGTCAAAATAACCTAAATATGGATTCATAGATATTAGGGCTAGTAACAATATGACGTGAAATGATGGATACAACTAAATAGATCAGTGATGTCTCTTTTTGCCTAAGCGAAAAAAATCATCAAAAATGGCTAAAACAGGGTTAACATTTGAACTCTTGGAAAGTAGCAAGTGGCCGATTAAAACAACTAATACTTCATACCAAATAGAATAAAAGAATTGTTGGCAATAAACAAGGACAAATTGAAAATGGCAGTCTTTTTTACGGGACACGTGATTTTCAAAGCTCATTTATTCAAACTTTCCGAGCAAAAAACTATGCGACAAAAAAATGAAGACAGTCTGCTGTTGTTCTGAAAAAGATGTACATCCTAGAGTTGCATGTTTCTTAAGTCTAAAAATCTAGAAGAAAAAAGAATGAACAATCTTTTTATATAGTTTATGTACATATAGTATATATTATGAGCGCTGACAGTAAATTTTAAAACATAAGTCTAAATCTTTACTTTGTCACGAATTCATCTCTCCTCCATTTTTCTTTAAAATGTATCCTAGTTATATGACTTCTTTAACTTCAGCCTCTCTCTTTCCCATTTTCAATTTCCTATTTTCCTATTTTCCTTCTTTCCTATTTTCTATTTCCTTTTTTCTTCCTTTTTGAAAACAACTATTTCCAACTTCTTTGAGTTTAATTGTAACTTTTTGTAACCCTCCTTAGGTAATATGATTATTATATCTATATTAAAAAAAACATAATATACGTATATAAAGCGAATAAACCCTTTTCATCAAAATGTGCAGTGAATTATGATAAAAACTTGCACTCTGATTCAATTTAATCCATAATCTAATTAACAATAAATTATAACTAATGAGGAATATCATAGCTGTATTAAAAATTTCGTGTTCTGGAAACTGGCGCTGTTTCAGTGCACAATGAGTACTTTATAATTGGGACATAGCGTAACATCGAATCCCATATAATTTCGCTGAGGCTGAGAGGAAACCCGGCGAATAGGAATTATACTTGTCAGAGGAGTACGTCGGATATGTTATCTCTATTAAAACACTGCGAGAATTCGGCGTGAAATTCATACTCTAAAAAGTATAATTATAATTTGTGTATATAAAACTCAATCTCTCGTATATTCAATGTTTCATTCCATGCTTTATTAAGCGACTGACGTACAAGCTATGAAATACAATATATATCATGAGAAAATAATAAATCGGATATACATGTGTCATGTGAGTATTTCAACAAATAATTGTGAGAATCAAAGCTTGATTCGACAGAGGCAAAATATTATTTCGTGCTAAATTTGTAATTACCGAAAATTTTCGGAGAGACAAAATTTCACATGCGATTGATGTGATGATTACATTAGTTTACAAAGACATATTTTTTTAATTGAACCAGAGATAAAGTATTTCTTCTAGGTGTTTTTATATAAATTTTTTTTGTTGTTTTAATAAAGTTGACAATATATTATTTTATGAAAAATAATTATAATTTCTTTTTATCAGTAAAAATTATAAGCAATAAAAGCAATATGTAATAAAAATGATAAATACAAGTTGCAATTTCTCATTGAAACTTCCAATAAATATTTATTAAAAAATATTCAATAAAATATGTTGCAAATCTATGATGGTAGCTGCAACATTAGAACACGAAGATTGCGATATGATAACATTGGCGCCAAATTGAAAAACAATTCCACTAGTATAGTTATAACATGGATATGTTAAACTTTCATATGTTATTTTTAATCATTTTATTTTATGCGCATTTTTCATTTATTTTTTTGTATCGCTATGTAGATTACAAACGCGTTTTTCTTGTTATAGGAATATCACAATCAGATACAGAATCTAACAAATTGATTTCTCGATATGTATATTCAAAAATGGTAAAAGCATTTTATTGAATGTGAAAAGATAAAGCATATGATATGACTTAATGATTTACATATTTGCCAATTTAAATCGTGAATATTCAAGATAATTGGATATTAGTAGCGTCTAGACGCAAGCAAGATTCGAAGTAACCTATGGAAACCTATCGA